AAGAATGAAGATGTTTTATGTATACATAGCAACTCCCCACCACGCCCATAATCATTACGTACCTCGAATGCGTGCTAATAAAAATACAAATTAAAAAAGGAAGACATTAAAACCCAGAAAAAAATGTGGGTGCACAAGATGGCATCTCCTCGGTGATGCCTCCTTGTCTGGCCTCCCTCTTACCTGTGGGAGCCCTGGTCCCTGCTGTGACTCTGACCCGGAGACCCTGCCACCTCTGCCACCTAGCCCTAGCCTGGCATTCCACTAATGACCACCACCTTCTTGTCTCTGAGGCCATGATGCGGTCACTTTGCCTTGCCCTGTGTAGACATTCAGAAGTCCACAGGGGACTCCCAGGTCAGCCCCCAGGATAGCTCTTCCACCCACTCCTCAGTGACATCTCACTCCACCCTAACCCTCACATTGGCCTTCTCTTCAGTTCCCACAGCCTCTATGCATGTTTCAGATCCTCTTCCCTGGCTGACCTGATTGATTTCTAAACGACAAAGACAGCCGCCAGCTCTGTCCTACACCAGTCCCCTGGCACATGAGTCATGACTTTGTGGATGCCCGGGTGCCCTGCCTCCAGAACATGAGCAGAAGGACATCTGCTGGCTTTAGATCAAGATGCCTCCCAAGCCTTGTGCAACTACAGCGGGACTTGTGGAAAGTGGCCAGATCATGGGGCTGACAGCTGACTTGCAATTAGGAGGAGGGGCCTGGATGGAAGGAGATCACTGAGGGTGTAACCTGGAAGGCTTTATCTTCTCCTGGGCTCCTACCCTCTCTCTCTGCTTCCTGTCTACCATGAGATGAGCAACTTTCCTCTGCCAGACTCTTGTGCCATCCTGCCCTGGAGCCAGCCAGCCATGGACTGAAACGTGAGCTAAAATAAACCTCTCCTCCTTTTAGTTGTGGATTTAGGTATTTTATTCTAGTGATGAGGAAGGGAAGTAAGACAATATCACTTTTCCTTTAGAGACCCAAGGAAGGGCTGGGTGAGGAGAGAGGCTGAGAGGGAGGCAGGGAGTCTTCCCTGGTCACTCCCTTCTGGGGCAGTTCCTCTTGAGGTGCACCCTGGGGCCTCTCCAGCCCCTCAGGGATGCACTCTAGATGGCTCACATGGCCTTTTCAGCAATGATGCCCCTCCCACAAGGCTCCGAGTTGTGGAGAAGAGATGGTGTCCCCAGAACCAGGCAACTGGCAAATCTTTACTTAGCATCCAGTGAGTATTTGTTAAATTAAAGTCTAAGACTGGAGAAACTGAGTGCTGTGTAGTAACCAACATGGTCCCTGCCTCCCATCCTCCCAACATAGCCAGGCAGGCATCACTGCCCAGCTCAAAGTGAAGAAATCTCACCCTACAGGCCCTGTCCTGATCCGATCTCAGCACTCCTGGTGGTCACCGCTGTGGGTCCTCGCCTCTTCCCACCCATGGGACTTTCCAGAAGCCTCTCCCCTGCCCATGTCCAACACATACATGTGTCTTGGGTGACAAGTGTTGCTCTCGCTGAGTCTGAATGCCTTGAGTCAGCAAGGGGGTTGCCATCTTTGAGCTGCTCCCTCCAGCAGCCTCCCATCTTCAATTTTCAGTACTCAATTAAGCATTAGTGCAACTTACTCAGATCTGTAAGCTTTGGAGCCCTGAACTCGTGGACTCGCTGCCTCTGCACCCTAATTCCTCAGTTCCCAGCTGATGTCCCATCCCCCTTCCCCCATACTTCTCAAGGAACCCAAACCTGCAAGGCCGGAATCTCTAGGTCGAACAGCAAGGAGAGGCTGCAGCCTGGCAGTCTCCTGCGCTGGGTCTGTGTGGAAGGGATATTGTGAGTATTTTTAGGATAAGCACTCAAAGATGTGTTGAGACCCTCAGGAAAAAAGAAAAAAAAAGGATGTCTACAAAATACCT